CCCACCACCAGGGTTAGAACCCAGGACCTTCCGGTTACAAGGCAAGCTGGCTCGTATACCATTCAGCCACCCGATTCAGTAACCAGCCCATGAATTCTAACTTCTGCCAATTCACCATATGGCGCGACCCCTAGCCAATGTCTTCTGCCAGTATTTGTCCTTGCACTCGACTGAATAATGTCGGCTCATGATGAAATCCTATAACCAATCAAATCCCTAAAGACCAACACCTGAAAAAAAGTGTTTACCTAGAGTAGATTGATTGGAGTAGTTTCTGTAATGATCTTTACGAAGGAGCCTTATAATATATACCCCAGATGCTAATAGGTATAAAAATCCTTGCAGCTCCAGTAACATATAGAATAATGAGGAGAGTGAAGTAACGTCCCATAGTATGATTAAAAGAGTTTAACACTTTGTAGTAATAAAGGAAAAGGCTAGTAGAGGTTCAGAGGTATTAGGGACAACAAAGTAGTATATATTTTAAGCATACGATTGCCTTACAAAGCAAGAAGTCTTGAAGTTTTGAAGGTCTTTGAACTACTGACAAGTGTCTGATGTAAGAGAGCTAAAATGATTGCATACCTTTCACCTACACTGTCTGTCTGTTTTCGACACAGAACTTTGCACCGATGTGCGGCAGTTCAAGTCGTCACAATGCCCACATGTAGCACATAAAGCAAGAGAAGAAAGTAGAAGAAATGCATAATAAAGACAGTGAACAGAGGTGTGAAATAAAGGAATAGTAATAACGAAGAACTATATAGTTTCATTGGAAATTATAAGTCACAAGTAGTGGATGTATCTGCGTCATTGAGAACGATCACTTTGAGCCATATCACCAATCGTTTCCAGCCACTGGGTTTCTATCGTTTCGAGGATCCCAACAAGAGTGTGATTGCATAATAGTACACCAGAATAAGGTATCTGTAAGGTAAGGGCTTATATTTTAGTCACTTTCATAAGATCACTGTAAGGTCTAGTCTCGTCTAATCTAGTCTCATTTCGAATCAATGATTTAATGAATGACAATTTTTTGAAAAAAACCGACAAAAAACAAACCTGTTTAGATTAAAACAACAATTTAAAACAGACTAGTCATCGAAATAGGATACTTTCACCAGTCAAATTTTTGCATAAATTAATAAGTTGTGTGTGTATTTGGTTTATGTAAATGCAACAGTGAACAAAAGACATTGTAACCATAACTACAGTAGTGTACGTTGCATTCTTTTTTTTACAAGATAAAAGTCACTATGTAACATGCTAAGGTAAATTCAAAGTTCAGCTGCTTCACATATGCTCCATGAGATTTTCGTACACTTCAGTATGTATGTGAATTCATAAAGTTAATTTCGTTTAATTCCAGTCACATTTTATCAAAAGAATGGATACTGAACAAAGAGTACTCTTTTCGATAACTTCATCATCAGGCTCTACAGAAGACCCTAAGTCACAGAGTTGGAGCTATATGCACAGAAGAAGTAACTGAAAATGAATTAAGCATTGTATATGATACTTTGATGGAAATTAACTATCCCGAAAAATTTATCAAGAAACACATGACAAAGAAAACGGAAAAGGAGAACTCACTATTCGTAAACAAGAAGTCAATTTATATACGACTGCAATTCAAGGGTGATATACCAAATGAGATAATTACGAGGAAATTAAGAAAATCAGTTCAAAGAACTTTTAATGCTGGCGAACTACACGTCTTATTCTCTAAACGACCGATGGTGTTACCTCGACTGAAAGATGGAGTACCTAGACTGGCTGGCCACTTCAAATTGTATCTACCAATTCAACTGCGCTGATGGTGGAGAGAGTTTTATTAGTCGTTACTCTGGGGACTTGGTTTTCATTGCTCGAGAACATTCACCTTTAACAGTTCGATATTGGGTCATTTAGTGCAAACCGGCCAACCACAAAGCCAGTCAGCCAGCCAGTGTGGAAGAATCTTTCCTCATCATCATCTACCGAGTCCCCAATAAATTGCCGAAGTCATCGAAGCACTGCATGCTCCAAACACCAGAGGCTATTCCAATTCGCCTCAAACAACCAGTACTATGTGTTCAAAAGAAGCAAGTTCAGCCAACCAGCCACTACTACTGCCCTGATCGGCCTTCAGTAGAGACTATAAATTCATGAATTGAGTTTGTAATATTATCTATCTTTCCTAATTTTTTTGACATTCAGTGTGCATTGTTGTGTTGATGTTATTGAGCTGTAATCTATCAATATTATTGATTCGATGTTATTTAAACAGCAATAATGTTGTTCATGAGACTAACTCATTCATTCACTATAATGTACATATATAACTGTAGAGCCTGATGATGAAGTCATCGAAAAGTGTATTCTTTGTTCAGTATCCATTCCTTTGAAAACTTTGATGGGCATGTTTAATCAATTACATATTTATTTTTAGGTATTTATAAGAAGGTCTGACCCCTCCCCTCCATCAGTCTTTTCAAAGGGCAGCTGTAAAGTGAAGTTACTATTCAAGTTAAGTAACCTCCGGAGAGATGCATAATTATTAAGGCTAGGCTTATTCAGTTCTCAAAGATCATCAGTATGTCTCCCACCTCCAAGGGTGCATATGTCCTAATAGTAATAATGATTCATCTTAAGAACTGTAGAAATTTTACACACCAAAGACTTGTATAGTTTGCCAATTAAACAAAACCTTACAATGTATATGTAAAAATTAAGTTTAATCATTTCCATTTGAATCATTGGTTCAGTAGAAGAATACTTACCAACCGGGCAGGTTGCCTGGGGGACTCCAAGCCGCCACCTCCCTTATCTTCGTTAGGCGACAGCAAGTCTGCAAAGGAAGGAGGGTTGGGCAACTACGCCCCGTCAAAAGAAAACACCTCTGTTGAGACTTCAAAGCTACAGCTTGAAGCCTTCCACTGGGAACTCAAAGGCGTGAAATAAGTAATTAAGATAAGCCTTCAATTATTATGTAATCAGGCATTAAAATAGGCTGAAAATTATTCTTGAATATCTTTTAAACATTTAGCTACTCCTTTTTTTCTTTCCTTCAGGTTCCCCAGTGGAACATAGGGCTTCAAGCTAGTGGCTTGAAGTTTCTGTAGCAGTGTTTATTGTTTTACAGGATGGGGTTGCTAGCCCCATGTCCAACATTTCCTCCTTACCAGCATTATTTCTGGCTTAGCGAGGTAAAGGAGTGTGTCGGCCGGGGATTGAACCCCGGACCATGTGCATGGTCGGCGAGAGTCCTAACCGCTATGCCACCGACGCACTTTAGGTACGCTTAAGTGAGACTAATTATGTTCAGTAGGTAGACTGCCCAACCAACTAAACAGTTGATACTTATCTGTACTGCTAAAGCTTTGGTTATCCAAAACAGAAAAGCCAGAGCTCTGTGTACAGAAAAACGGTTTGTTCAACCCCTCCAAATTTCATGATCCTAATCCCTCTATGCTAAAGTATGATAATCCCTAATCATATTTTGGCTCTACCAATTTTTCCTTTTTTTCATTTTATCTATTCGATTTGTATACTCTTCCTTTATTACGTCAACTGTTACTACTATTACTATTCTCACTTTGAACTGTCCCCGGTATTGTTTCATTTGTTCCGCTTGTCATTCTAAATCACTTCGTTTTTTACAGCAACGCTAAATTCTATGCTATCATATTTCACACAAAATTATTACGTAACGTTTTTATTTTATTCGATTTGTCTACTAATCCTATAATTGCACACCCTTTATATATATATGACATTAATTGTTTTGCCACTTGACATTCAACTATGACTATCATCACAAACATTTTAGTTTTTAATTGCATTTTAAACTATTACTATTTTATGCATTCACACCTATGATTCAATTTTATCACCGGATATAACATCTTAGAAACCATATATATACGATTGTACAGCTTGATGATAAATTCGTTGAAAAGAGTCTCTTCGTTGAATTTACTGTTTTTGATTTTCTACATGATACTTATTATCCAATAGATTTTAATAAACAAAATAACCTGAAATGAGATTAAAATGAAAGTGAACAATTTACTCAGTGAATTGCTACTGGTGTAGATAGATTATACCGAAAAAGGAATCTGATATACGACGTCATCAAGGTTAGAGTTCAGAAAAGACAACGGGTAAAATCGAACATAAATCAAGCCTGGATGATTTCATCATGATCTGACATCGGTTAGAGAACCATTGGAAAACCTGGGAGTACTGGACAGCTGCTTCGTCAGACTATTTTGGGACTCTTCAGCAGTACGCACCTACTGCCAGGGGTCGAACCCAGGACCTTCTGGTTACAAGGCGAGCACGTAGACCACTGAGCCACTGGGACCCGATCTAATGGCCAGTTGATGAATTCCAACTTCTGCCAGTTCCCGATATAGCGCAACCTCTAGCCAATGTCTTCGGTGAATTGGCAGAAGTTAGAATTCATGGAGTGGCCATTGGATCGGGTCTCAGTGCCTTAATGGTCTACGAGCGCGCCTTGTAGCCAGAGGGTTCTGGGTTCGAACCCCGGCCGGTGCATACGGATGAAGAGTCCCAAACTAGGGACGGAAGAAACAACTGTCCAGTACTCTCAGGTTTTCCAATGGTTCTCTAACCAATGTCAACTCATGATGAAATCCTGTAACCAATCAAATCTCTACAAACCAACACTTGAATAATAATCAGTTAGTTACATTATATTATTTTTATTGATCATTGAATTGCTATCAGTTAACGTTCACTAATGAAACACGTAGATTTTGTATGACATTACGCTTGATATTTAATGTCAAAAGCTTTGATAGTTGATCTCTATGATTCAGATTATTCAATCAACTGATTAGTACAAATTATTTGATTGCATGGAGGATTTCATGAGCTGACATCAGTTAGAGAACCACTGGGAAACCTTCATGGAATCAAAGAAGATCCCTACAAAACCAATACAAATTATTTAGCAGAGTCAGTTTATTATCTGCTAAGATATTTGAACTTACCATAAATGATCACTTGAATTTGTATTTTCAGTATCAAAATAACAATGACTCAAAGTAGTTTTCAACTGGGTTCGTTCAGTACTTTTAGGCGATTGATTACTTAGTCGTCTTTGATTTGACAATTCTCTAGAAATTTTGTCACATTTTGTCATTGTATTGATTGAATTTACACGTGAGCCTATAGCATGTTTTGTTAATCCTGGGAAAAGTATAGTTGGATAATCAGTTGCTTTTTGAGTGGATTGATTTGCAAAACATTGATTAGGAGAGTAATACTGACAATGTTTACCTGTTCCACTGACAAAAACAGGTGATTGTTGTCGTTTGACCTCTTTAGGTGGATAGTATAAATTCGTTTTATTAATTGTATAGTTATTCCAGTTGTGCTGACTAATTGATACTTCTTTTGTACCATTCGATTGATTTCTGTGATCAGTCTCACGATTAGAATCGTGTAGATCAACTTCAACTAAAGTTCTTTGTGGTGAGATCCAAATGTTGTGCGTACTAAGAGAGCTGTGTAAAGGCTGTATTGGATAATTTGATGAGCAAAAAAGTAGAAGGAAAAGAAGGAGAAAGAGATTATTACAGGCAAAAAAGGAGTCGGGAGAATTTCCACTAATTAATACGACCCTTATGCAGATGAATTTACAATCAGAACAGAAAATAACAACAAGGTTCACAATCTATCTCATTTCTACCCATAAAAACACTACACCATGATTTTTATCTTTCCTAAGATTTGGTATTTTTATGAAATGTAATAAAACCTGGTGATGTTCACACTTCAAATTTCAAATTCACTTTTGTTTTGGATATGCATATATTTATTTGATTATAGCTTGATTCCACACAGCATTTTTGTACAAGTATGGAATTTTCAGCATGTGATATCGATATTTCAAATTTAGCAGGCCGACCATTGATATCACGTGTGCATCAGCTGGGGATCGAACGTCGGAGAGCGTCGTAACTGCTGTGCTATCAACGCACATATCACCAATTCAAGAGTCTAGAATCATGACGAAAGGACGCCGAAAAGCAATTAAACGTCTGCTCAACAATGAGGATATCGTCATACTGCAACCAGACAAAGGCTCAGGAGTGGCAGTAATGAACAAGGCTGAATATTTTCGAAAAATGGAGTCCATTGTGAATGACACGTGGAAATTTAAGATTGATAACTGCAAGAAGGATATGATGAACTCGGCAGAAAAGAAAGTCGCGAAAGTACTCAGAGAGCTATTGAAAAAGAATATGATTGACAATCATACGTACAATGAGTTAAAACCCATGGGGTCTCATCTACTATATATGTATGGTCTGCCGAAGATACATAAAAAGAATTGTCCCATAAGATCAATACTCTCAATGGTGAATTCATCCTTTCACAAAGTTGCTTGCTACTTAGCCGATAGGTCAGAACTTCTCAGACAAGGTCAAGCTAAACATACTCTAAAAGACTCGTTCCAATTTGTTGAAGAGGTGAATCAACTGAACACACATGACAAAATCATGGTTTCCTTCGAGGTGAATTCTCTATTCACGCAGATCCCTCTGCATGAGACATTAGACATCATCTGTCAACACTCTGATCTTCTTCCTCCATCGAAACTGGAATTTAAGCAGCTTCTCGTGTTATATACAAATGATATACAATTCCAGTTTGACAAAGAAATATATCGCCAGGTTGATGGAGTTGCAATGGGGAGTCCACTGGGTTAGATATTAACCAATATTTTTATGGCCAGTTTGGAACAGACAAAGCTCAAGTATGCATCTGGCAAAACAACAGCCTACTATACATATGTTGATGACACATTCATTGTATACAATGATTTGGGTCACGCTTCGTCTCTATTAGACTCTTTCAAAAATGTACATAAAAGCATCACGCCGCTACACTAATAATACAGTTCAGACAGCAGAATTATGTTCTAACCAACGAGCTAGCCTTGTAGTCGGAAGTTCCTGGGTCCGAACCTCTAGTGGTGCGTACTGCCAATGATTCCCAAACTAGAATGAAACAGCTGTCCAGTACTCCCTGATTTAAAAATCGTGCGTCGGTAGCACAGCGGTTAGGACTCTCGCCGACCATGCACATGGTCCGGGGTTCGATCTCCTGCCGACGCCCACCTGATATCTATGGTCACTCTGCAAAATTTGGGCTACCAATATCATAGGCTGAAAATTCCACACTTGTACCAAAAAATACTGTGTGGTTTCAAGCTATAATCAAAAATTAAAAATTAAATTAATTAAAATCAAAGGACTATAATCAGATGGTAGAATCGAATTCTATTTCATAAATATATATTTATATATATCACATTAGTTTCTTGTTGGAGGTGCTTGTAATCAGTTTAGACTTTTCCTCATTAGATAAACAGCGGCCTGCTTAAATCATTGGGCTACCATCCATCATCATCCATCAAAATACTTAATCCATTATGCATTTATTATTGTTTTAATCGCTCAATTATGTCAGGTCATCACTGCATTAACTCGCGCACATTTAATTAGCTTCCACCTAAACACCAGGCATTTCTTGTAGGAAATAAAGAAAAAGTGTGCAAAAGTGGTCGTCTCTTCAAATGCAACAAAAGTACTTAACATGATATACTTCAGATTAATACTTAACAAGTAAATCCTGTACTAAGGTAAAGTATCTCGGGACTAAATACGCTGAAAATTTCTGTACTTTATGTTCGTATATTATCTGAAATAAATCTTTATTACTACTACTAAAAAAAATTAGTTAGGATTCTATATATACATATATCACAACTAGAGTCGTACTCATTTCTCATACGGATGAGTGGAGCGTGCGTCTAAGCAGAAATCAGGACGGTCAGCAACTCTGTTCTGGAGGCCATTATTACTTGCAGCCATGCAGCATCAATAGAAACTTCATTTGGAGTTAAATATTAGGTAGGATCAAGCCGTCCAATAACATTTTGCTTATATCTCCTTCGCGCAGCCATAACCCTAGTAAAACATACGGAAAAATTTGAACTTTCTGTTCAGAAACATTTCATCCAGCCTCCTTTACTACAATGGCCTTAGTGTTGGTTTTATTCTCCCGATTTGTTGAATAATAAACTATGTGATCTTTCTATTTATTTATTTGTAGCCCATTTTCATTTCTGTCATCTCTTGTTTCCTATCAACCATTTGAAAATGAGATTCCATATTTAGGCGGCCTGTTTAAATCACTAGGTTATTAGAATTTCTATTCATCAGAAGGCTTAAATTATTTTTTGCATTTCTTATTGTTCTAATTATTCATTTATATCAGATGATCACTACACGAACTCCAGAAGAAATTCAATTAGCTTTCAACAAACCTCTGTGCAATTCTTGAAGAAAATGTACAGAATCAGTCCTTTTTCATACGCTACAACATTACGTAACATGATATACTTCAGATTGTTACTTTACGTGTAAATCCTGTATGAAGAGTTATTATTTTGGAATTAAGTATTCTGAAAATTTCTGTATTATGTGTACACTTATTTTCTAAAATAAAGTCTCAATTATTGATGGATTTATTGTCACATTTCCCAGTTACGTGAGATTACTCCCTATATTTCACTTGGAATTGCTTTTGGTATTAAGTGACCTTTTTTGTCAGTTATGCCATTAAATAATAGCTTGGAATACATCTTACAAAAAGAAGTTATTTGCTATTTGTTTTCACGAGTTTGACCAGGGATTGACATCAGTTAGAGAACCATTGAAAACCAGGAAGGAGTACTGGACAGCTGCTGTTTCATCTTGAGTAGTTTGGGACTCATCGACAGTACGCACCCACCACAAGAGGTTCGAACCCAGGACGTCACGGTTACAAGGCAAACTGGCTCGTATATCATTCAGCCACTGGGAGATGACCAGCTAATGAATTCTAACTTCTACCGATTCGTGATTTACCGCGACCACCAACCAAACTAGGATGGTTTTCAATGGTTCTCTAACTGACATCAATCCATGGTCAAACTCTTAAAAAACAGATGTGTTATTATAAGATCAGTCATCCTGCTACAATCAATAAATATACTGAATCCAATCAGTTGGCTCGATCGTGTAGACTGCTGCACATTCGAAGCACTGTGTGGAAGTGAGCTTTAGTGTATTTATGCTCATATCATGCTAACAAGAGCAAACAGACACGAAAGAGAGATTCATAACTCTTACTTTTTTTGATTACAGTTTTATACCACACCGTATTTTCGGTACAGGTATGGTATTTTCAGCGTGTGATATCGATAGCTGGAATTTAGCAGGGCTACCATAGATATCGAATTTGCGTCGGCCGGAGATCGAACCCCAGCCCATGGGCATGATTGGCGAGTCATAACCGCTGTGCCACCGACGCACAGCATTATCTATGTAAACATCATTTTGAAGGTGCATCTTGGATAGTTTGAATAATAAATACATCGATTGAAACAAAAAGTAATCAGTTATGAATTACCTTGTGAATATTAGGTATATATCCATTATTCTCTGTTGAATTAGGATGACCAGCCAGATTAATTGAACATAAAGAATTCGCTGATGACCATGATGATGAAGATGATAATGATGGGCGCTTTGAGGATTTTGACAAATGCATTATTAAATTACACTTTTGTTCATTTAATTGTTTAAATTGCTGATATTTACTCTCATTCATGCATAGACTAGTTATAAATGGTTCATAAGTGTTATTAATATATTTTATCTTGTCTGATGTATCAGGTAACGCGTGTTGATGTTGTTGATGTCTTCTTAGTAACGGATGATTATTTGAACCTCCCGGCAAATTTGAATCATTTTCGAAAATCTCTTCTTGATATCTTCCATTATTTTCTGTTTGTATAGCGATATCACATAAATACTTGCCTGTTTCACGCTCAATTGAAATAGGCGTTCGACATCTTTCTCCAACAGTTATTGATTTTGGTGCTGGAGATGATACTGATGAAGTTGAATCATCTCTAGAAGAATAAAAAATCAATCAAGTCAGTTCGTTTTATCTATGTAAAGGATATACATAAACATACCAGAATAGTCTTTATTATCTACAGTAGTTAAATAGAAAACAGTGAGTTCAATACAAACTGGATTTCATGCATGACCTAACTGATTTTCAAGCATTTGTCGATTATCAAAACTTCATACTTTGACCTGAACAATTTATCGTTGAAGCTGAATGATAGTTAGTGACAGTCTTAAAAAAGGGATCAACAGTAGATACTTTAAGAATACACTCAATGAGTTCACATTCATACATCAAGACCAAATCAACAGCTAGTCGTGGTCAAACCAAAAGATGGCTTCGTCAGTCAATGAAATCCACAACAGTTAGTTTAAGCGGAGTAGCATCGCAGGGAACTGTAGACTGCCTGAATGCCTGGGGTACCCCGAGATGATAAGAACCAATGACGGCTGGAGACAATTAGTGATGTGTCTCGAAATCGTTCTCAGTGGGGGGCGAAGATCCACTCACTCTCTCAAAATAATAATTTCCAACGAAATCTTATTCTTCTTCTTCCGCATTAGCGTTCCTTTTGCCTGATATTTCTGTTTGTTATCTCTCCTTTGAATCTCTCTTTACTCTCTTCTATGGCTTTGTGTCCTAAATGGAGTGTGAGAACTCAAACTGCTGCACATCTGTGCAAAGTTCTGCCTTGAAACCAGTCAGTCAGTCAGTCAGTCACTCAGTCAGACTGAGGTGTTTTATCCATGCATAAAGTCATTGTTAACAATAGACCGACTTTTGGATAACTGTTTGAAACACGTGGTGAAGATTTTAAACCACTAAGTCGTCTTAAATTGACTAGCAGTGATGAAGTTACAGAGAATAATTAATTCTTTTTCTATGCTGTCAGTATTACTAACTATTTGTGCTGTACTGTTTCTTGTCATCCTTTCTTCTGCTGCTATCATTACTGCCCAGATTATGAGTGAGTTCAATCACCCTTGTCTTCATTTCTTCTTGTGGTGTTGTTTGTGAATGCCATTCAAGTAGGTAAACACTCCATTTCACTCCACCAGACTATTACTTTTATCCATCGATAATCATGAAACCTCATTCTTCCAGTGTTTATCAACCCATATTTTTTATAGCTTTATTAATTTTTTAAAAATGTCACAAATTTCTAAGAGAACTACTATTTTGTGTTTATTTACCATGCATGTGACTCCTATTTACATAGTTAGTGATTAACTAAGGTCAGAAAAGACGTCATACTCTGAAGTGACTTAGATAACTAATCAATAAGATAAATGATAGACCAACTCCAATCACTTGTGATTACTTGTTACTTGTCACATTTTTATTTAGATGACCATAATACGACTAAATATCATTATGTGATAGTAATGAACACTACAGGACTTTTACGAATTTTGCGAATTCAATTTTATCGTGGGATAATTTGATTATAAATTAGTTGTGTTCTCTGAGATGGTTGATTTAATCGCGAAGCTTTTGTTGTCCTGCTGAACAATAGTACGGAGTGAACCTATTTGAATTCTCCATAAACGATACATGATATCCTGTGACAACCATTATCGTCACTGTTTGTTAATTCACGTCTCCATTGGTCATCTTGACTGACTTGCAATTCAAACTTTCTTGTCGTGTGAAGTCTTTTTTTATTAGTTAGTAAATTCGGTCTACAGTAATGTGTTTGTTAACCGCTGGCTGATTCCCTTGAGTACACTAGGAATTCCCTGATTGTAGTTCTGGTGTTTCCTCTATTTAAAATGTCTACGTTCTCCCAATCCAATTAGTGTCCGTATTTATCTGCATACATCGATATGAAAGAATATACATATCGTGCCTATTCACAGCTGATTTGTGTTCTTGGACTTGGACACAAAAGGGAACGCCCACTTTGACTGTTTTTATTTTTACTGTAGTTCACACAGTTTATGTTGTGAGTGGTATTAATTTTATCTTTTTTTTCTGTTGAATCTTTCCGATTGCACAATGCTGAATAAAGTGATTGGGGTAGCTTGTGGATCTATGTATGTCTATTTCGAACAGTCTTAATATTCTAGCTGTTATTTCAAAGATATATTTTTTATACATGATACAATGAATTTTCTTGTGGTCTTCAATGATGGCTTCTGGTTGGTGTGGTGTCCCCTGTGTAGTTCGAGTCCAAGAACACAAATCAGCTGTGAATAGGCACGATATGTATTCTTTCATATTGATGTATGCAGATAATTACGGAAACCAATTTGATTAGGAGAATGCAGAAATGCTGAATAGAGGAAACACCAAAATTACAATCAGAGAATTTCTAGAAGCTTGACATTCAAGGGAATCAGCCAGCGGTTAACAAACACATTACTGTAGACCGAATTTACTAACTAATAAAAAAAGAATTCACACGACAAGAAAGTTCGAATTGCAAGTCAGTCAAGATGACCAATGGAGACGCGAATTAACAAACCATGACGACAATGTCTGTCTGTTTTCCTCATAGAACTTTGCACCGGTGTGCAGCAGTTCAAGTCACCACACTGCCCACATGTAGCACACAATGCAAGAGAAGAAAGTAGAAGAAATGCATAATACAGACAATAAACAGAGGTGTGAGACAAAGGAATAGTAGTAACGAAAAACAATATAGTTTCATTGGAAATTATAAGTCACAAGAAGTGGATGCATCTGCGCCAGCCAGCCATTGAGAACGATTTTGAGTTGGCCATATCACCAATTGTTTCCAGCCTTCATTGGTTTTTACAGTCCCGAGGACCCCAACTAGCCTGACAGTCTACACCTTCCTACGTGACTGGCTGGCTTAAACTAACTGCTGTGGATTTCATTGACTGATGAAGCCATGTTTTGTTTTGACCGCCGTCACTAGCTAGCTCTTTTCTAGCCTGACCAGTCCTATGTCAACTAACATTTCCTGTTGTTGAGGAAGGCGGTGACTAGGCAGGAATGCGTAACACATGTCCTAACCATCTCAGTCGATTTAATTTCACAGCCTCCTCGATTGATTTCCCCTCCTTCTTTCTTACCTCACCTCAATATTCCTCACCTTGCTTTACCACCTCACACGGGAGATAGAACGCAGGCACCTATGACGGAAGACAGCTAATCTTTTCATGTCATCCACTCTCAATGGCCAGGTCTCGCTCACAGCCATAAAGGAGGACGGGGCGGAATGATGAGCAGTACACCCGCCCTTTGGTCGATAGCTGGCCGGATGCCACATCCACTAAGCCAGAGACGGCGTAAACTGGCATATGCGAAACTAGCTCTCTGTATCCGTACTGAGATTTTGTCAGAGATCAACCCGTTGGAGCTGATGGTACTTCCCAAATAAATGTTTGTCAGGGGATATCATTCATATCATATATCATTCATGGAGAATTCAAATAAGTCCACTCCATCCTAAGAGCTGCGCTGAAGATGTTGTTTAGCAAGACAACAGAAACCTCGCAATTAAATCAATCATTTCAAAGAACACAATTTAGTCGAAATCATCCACTCAAGGTACAAATCTCCATGATTTAGAACTTAGGTTATGCACCACTGCTGGTAACTGCACATGTTTATTTGTAGAATAATTAAGAGTAACATTCTTACATGTTAGCCGAATATATAGTGATATCCGTTTCATTCAATCATGCATCACAAACAGTGAACTCATAGGAATCACCACAAAAATTTCCAATTATTCTTCTTAATGATAAATTGCTTGTAAGTCTGGTTTCGCTTTGACCAGAATGTACAGAAGGACTGTTGAGCATTAGCGAAACTTTCTTACTGGCCTATGATTCTATGACTGCATGATAAACTCAGACTTAGAGCTAACATATGATGTCACTAAACAACTCTTGGTCACATGTTTCTTGAAGAAAGCTGGTGCCAGTGTTGAAATTTAGTGATAGATAATTGTTGTTAACATTATAGTTATGAAAATATTTTGCAGTGAAAGTAATATAAGATTTTATGCATGACTAAACTGCCTTAAAACATTATGCCTAAGATAGAAAATCAACTTGTCAATATTACACTCTTCAAGCTTTCTCTGGATAAAGACTCACAAGTGGAGTTAACTGAATGATGATGAATGAGGCTAGATGAATTAACATGTTGGAGTAAGTAAATGATCAGATTCTTCTCTGTGTGCAAGTTACTTTCTAAGTGGCTTCATTAGAAAAAGTCTTCTTTTCCTATTCCAACATTTATTCCTTAGCTTCAGCATTATACTGAGTGTATCAAAGTGATGGTGGTGGATAGAAAACTGTATGAAGGCTAACCAGTTTAAAGCTTGTCATTTAATTAAGAAAGGGAATAAAATAAAGATAAAAAGTCAGGTAGGATATTACTCTGCATCAAAACTTCTTGTTACTGCCTCTAAACAATAAATAACATTATTATGCAATTGGTGGATGGTGGCTAGCAGTGGAATCCAGGATGCGCATTTCGTCCTATTTGGGACTCGTCATCTGGATGTACCTGCATTTCTCAGTGAGTGATGATGTTCCCACCGAGGCTCGAACCCAGTACCCATAGTTTCAAACGCCGAAGCGTTATCCACTAAACCACTTGGGCCACGAGAGCCACCTCTTGTGCAACGGGTCATATTAATTATTGAATTGGATTTTTGATTTTCCCGTCGATTGATTGGACCGAAGTGCTCGGTTTCTCGAGTCCCAAATAGGACAGGTGAAATGCGCGTTATCCTGGATTCCACTGCTAGCCACCATCCACCAATTGTATACTAACTAAATGCCCGGACATCGTCGAAGCATCTGCACAAGGAGCCGACATGTCAACCTGAGACCAAGCACATCGGTCCAATCAATCGACGGGAAGATCAAGAATTCAATTCAATAATAAACAACATTATGCCTAAAATAGATTTATTTGAAAAAAAAGAAGCTGAACATAACGATTGATTTTTACAAGAAATCATTGCCTAAGATATTATGCATGATAGTAATCATGTGGAAATGTTTCTAAACT